TGCAGAGCGTATGAACAGGACAATAATGGAAAAGGTCAGATGCTTGCTGGATGAATCAGGTCTAGAAGAAGCATTCTGGGCAGAGGCGGTGTCAACTGCAGTGTATTTGATTAACCGGAGCCCATCTACAGCAATTGATAGTAACATTCCAGAGGAGTTATGGCTGGGAAGAAAACCAGGTTACAGTCATCTGAGGAGGTTTGGTTCTCTAGCTTACGTTCATACAGATCAGGGCAAGCTCAAGCCGAGAGCATTGAAAGGAGTCTTTATTAGTTATCCCTCAGGCGTGAAGGGTTACAAAGTTTGGCTTCTTGATGAACAAAAAAGTGTAATCAGCAGTAATGTGGTATTTGTTGAGAACAAGGTATACAAGGATGTAAAAGATGTACCAGGTGATAGTTCTCAACATACTAAAGTTGACAGAACAAGTGAGTTAGTCCTTGAATCTGGATTGGGTACGAAAGAACCAAAGGAAGACAGAAGCACCAGTGAAGAACAAGAAGCTGAAACTGAAGGAGAAAACAGTTCCGTGTTAGAGTTAGAAGGAGAGGATGGAAATGGCTATCAGCTGGCTAGAGATAGGCCAAGAAGAGAGAGTGTACTTCCTGCTAGACTTCAGGACTACGATATGGCTGCATTTGCGTTTATTGCAGCTGAGGAATTAAGTCTTGAGGAGCCAAGAGACTATCAGGAAGCCATACGTAGTAAGGATAAGGATCTTTGGAATGGGGGTATGGATGAGGAGATGAGTTCTCTTGACAAGAATAAGACTTGGATCTTAGTAAGAAGGCCTAAGAACAGGAAGGTAATCGGGTGCAAGTGGGTTTATCGACTCAAACCAGGTATTCCAGGCGTGGAAAAACCAAGGCATAAAGCCAGACTAGTCACTAAGGGATATGCACGGAAGGAAGGAAATGATTATCAGGAAGTATTCTCGCCTGTTGTAAAGCATGTGTCCATCAGATTTCTCCTATCTGTAGTTGTGAATCAAGATTTGGAACTTGAGCAACTAGATGTAAAAACAGCATTCTTACATGGGATTATCGAGGAATAGATATTCATGGAGCAGCCAGAAGGTTAGGAAGTAAGAGGAAAGGAGGACTATGTGTGTAAACTTCAAAAGGCATTGTATGGGCTTAAGCAAGCACCAAGGCAATGGAACAAGTGTTTTGACCAGTTTGTGATCAGTCATGGGTTCGTTAAGAGTGACTACGATCGTGTGTTTATATCAAGGAAGCAAAAGGGAGTAAAGAAATGGTTTACTTGTTGCTGTATGTGGACGACATGTTACTCGCTTCTAAAGATATGGCTGAGATAAGACATGTGAAGGATTTGCTGGGAAGTAGGTTCGAAATGAAAGACTTAGGGCCTGCACGAAGAATACTTGGAATGGATATAGAGAGAGAGACCGAGAAGGTGGAGTTCTTGCTTTATCACAGTCTGGATATGTGAAAAAGGTTCTTCAGGTGTTTAACATGGCTGATGCAAAGTCTGTTACTACACCTATTGGAGCACATTTCAAATTGTCAGCCATCAGAGAAGATGATAAAGAGAAGGTTATGGAAGATGTTCCATATGCAAATGCTATTGGAAGCATTATGTATGCAATGATTGGCACTAGGTGTGATCTTGCTTATGCCGTAGGATTGGTGAGTAGATTCATGAGTAGACCTGGACAGATTCATTGGTCAGCCGTAAAGTGGGTATTGAGATATCTTAAGGGTACGCAAGATTTGAAGCTCGTCTTCACGAAGAGAGATGAGTTCAAGGTTGAGGGGTTTTGTGACTCTGACTTCTCATCGGATCTAGATAGACGGCGTTCTATCTCAGGGTATGTTTTTACGGTTGGAGGGAACACAATTAGCTGGAGATCAAGTCTTCAACACGTGGTGGCTCTCTCAACTACTGAGGCGGAATATATGGCCTTAGTTGAAGCTGTAAAGGAGGGAATTTGGTTAAAGGGTTTGGCTGAAGAATTCGGTTTTAAACAAGAATGGGTTGATGTGTGGTGTGACTCTCAGAGTGCTCTCTGCTTAGCTAAGAACAATGTACACCATGATAGAATGAAGCACATCAGTAGGAAGCTGCACTTCATCAGAGATATAATAGCTCAAGGAGAAGTGAAAGTTCAGAAGATTTCAACTCTCAAAAACCCTGCGGATATGTTGACAAAGGTGTTGCCTGTTAACAAGTTTGAGCAAGCCTTGAGCTTTCTCGGAGTAGCCAGACACTGAAGTGTTGGCTGAGCCTGGCAAAGCACGCGTTTGCAAAAGTCGTAGCAGTGATTCATGGCGATTATCATCAAGGTGGAGTTTGTTGAGACTTGGTGATGAGAATCACCTGAATTGGACTTGAACCGGACTGGTTTGTCAATTAGAAGGATTGGTTAAGGATTCTTTCTATGGTTCACGGTTAGATAGATTTAAACCGGTTTGACTTTTGTGATTGACTTTACTATATAAGTAAAGCGTGTGTATATATCATCTCTCTAATCTAGAGGTTTACCGTTGTAAAAGGATAAGAGAGAGAAAGTTGTGATTCTGTATCGGAGAAGGCGATAGTGAATTGATGGAGATTTGCTTGGCCGAGACGTAGGGATATTACTCAAATCGAGGTCCCGAACTCGTAAAATTCTCTTGTGTTCTTATTTTCTTGCTAATCGGTAAACAAACAAATCAAGTTCAAAGTGAGAGATCAAGTGAGTAATCGTTGAGCGAATAGATCAGATTGAATCGATATTGCGATCTTATTCCGTGTTGTTGAGTTGGATTCCTCAACAGCTTGAGAGTACTAAGAGCATGTCCATTAGTGAACTCCTCTTAGAGAGGTTCATCTTGAATTAAAAAATATTTTTTTTTTTTGAAATTCGAAAATTAAGAAAAAAGTTCGTCCAATCATATTATGCCATCTGGATAAAACTTATGCCACCTAAACAAGAATTGGGCTCTTCAGGTTCATCCTTCATAAAAAGTTCTTCTAATCATATTTTATATTTTTTTGAATTCAAAATACCTATGAATTCGAGCCATGAACTTCCTAATGGACATGCAAGTAATAATTGTTTTTTTTCTTTTCTTTTTACGATGCATCTCAGTTCCATAAGATCGTAACTAGATTTTCGTCCATTTCTTCTTTTCTTGTGGCGTACCCTGAAAAATGGACTGACATATTATACTTTATAATATAAATCAAATAATCATCCACAGAATATCAAGATTCAAAAGATTCAAAAAGGGAAGGGGACATGCTTTAATTTAAGAATAACAAAATAGGAGTTGCGACTGGTGAGATATTTGTTTAATTAAGAAGACTGCCGCTATTATCAAAGATCTCTCTATGTCTCTTACTTTTTAACAAATGGACTTTATTACATGGAACAAGAAACCTAAACTACGATTTTTTTTTTTTTTTTGGCTCAAATCAACTCTTATTAACCAAACTCAGTTTACAAAGCGTTCATATCATCGTCAACATATATATGTATTGATCCAACTCGGCGAAATAAAATATAACTTGGGGACATTAGTCATGAAAGACGAAGTCTCCCTTGCTATCCTATCAGCCACACCATTACACAATCTTGGCGTGAAAACTACCTTATGCAAAGAGATCCTAGAGAGAAGATGATGGTGTGGCTGCTTGTTAGTACCCTCAAACTTTGTCGAACGCTTGAGAGTACTAACAAGTATCCCTAAATCCTAAACTACGATTACCCCATGAGACTAAGTGTTTCGTTTTTTTTTTCTTTTGAACATTAAGTTTTTGCCATTTACATATATAGTACTATTTCAAGAGTAGAGACAAAACTAACTATATTCAGCTTTGAAACTTCAGTTAAGTGGTGACTGAGTGCTATCAGTGTATGTATTTTTGAAGTCGCAGCATCGAATAGTGTAAAAATGATATGAAGTGTTATTCGAGACAACACATTTCGAAAAGGATTGCTTGAATGAATTATATGTTTAAAAATAAACTAATGAATGTACTATGCACAAATATATACAGCAGCAGAAAAAAAAACTACTTAGGCACTAATTGGTAACCAAAGAATGAGAAAGAATAATGAAATTCTTTTTTATTCCTTAAAAATATATTATTTACATAAAATTTATTTATATACATTCTTCAAAAAATACACCATTTATTATGAATATGTTTTACACATTATTCATGTCATTTCTTTATTTTTAAGAAATTATAGAACAAAAATATTCTTCACCAAATTTGATAAAGAATAAAAAAATACATTTCCATTATTTATTTCTCTTCATTCCTATTATTCAATTAATAGTCACCAATTAAAACAAGGTTCTCCCTTAAATTATTATTGAAATGCATTTTAAACCATATATAGCTGTAATTTAGATTTCAATTATACCAGACGTAAATTTTTGTATTATAAATTTAAAATAGATTTAAAATATTATAAATTTCTGTTTCTTGCTTTTTCTATAACATATTTTTGCAAAATGAATACGCAAACACAATGAAAATAGAAAGAAAATCGTCTTTTCGTTTACAATTAACAATTCTCTGTTATTTTTAACAGATGAAACTGTGAGTTCATTTGTTAAAGAGAAATAAAAACAAACAATCGAGACGTTACTCAACATTATTCTTCCATTTTGTGCTATACTTTGATAGGCAAAGAAAGTGTTAATTAAGTTGGTGATCTAATCAGTAATTAACCATCGGTTTTTTTTTTAGTTTTTGAGAAAACAATAAGTAACCTCCATTTTCGATCCGTACTGATACGGTCCGTATCCAACACTCAAACAAGAGAAAGAACAAAACAAAGAGAATGACAGCAAAATCACCAACAAAAAGAAAAAGAAAGAAATTCAAAACACCCCTCAAAAGGATCAAGATCCGATTGGCCTATCTTTAATTTTTTTCTTTTTTCTTATGTGTTCTGGAGTTTGACCGTTTGACTTTCTAGATAAACTTACCAACTACTTATCATATGAATTTAACCTTCGGGGAATCGAACCCCTGATCTGCTAAGAGATGTGGCAATAGACGTAGCCACTAACTCATTAGACCAAAGCCTATACATATTGTAGCATTAATGGGCCTAATTTCTCACTACCGAAGGCCCATATGGATCGTAGCACAAATTTCAAGTTTCTTCTTCTCCGTTCGCTACTTCCAATTCCGTTAGGCCATCTCCGTCGTCGATCGTCATAATTGTCGTCGTCGGTGGAATTAATGTCGGCGAGAGCCGCCTCGTGATTGGTAAGAACGTTCCTGAATTATTAGATGTTCGAGTGGACATCGCTCGATCTTGTTTTTTGATTTTAATATTTCAAATCTCGATTATTCACTGTTTTAACTTCTGATCACTGTAATTTTCCAATTCATCAGCACTTTAGCTTTGTAATCGTTTCCTTGTTCCGACGCCATCGCGTAGTCGAAGCTTTGTTGTGTGAATCAGATCAACGGGAAAATGGGACTGTTAAGCATAATTCGGAAAATCAAGAAGAAAGAGAAGGAGATGCGTATTCTTATGGTGTATGTCAGGATTCTAAACCTGTTAATCTCCTCCGATCTAAATACACAAATTCATATAATAATTTTGTGTTGGTGTGCGTTTTTTTTGGATAGTGGGCTTGATAACTCTGGGAAGACGACGATTGTTCTGAAGATAAATGGGGAAGACACGAGCGTGATTAGCCCAACTCTTGGTTTCAACATCAAAACCATTAGCTACCAAAAGTACTGCTCTTTCTTCATCTCTGCTTGTTTTGTAGTTTCTTCGAAATTGGTTTAGGAAGATCATCAAACAGGTTATATAGGCAATGTGAATTTGTGTGTAATGGTGTGTGTAGGTATACGCTGAATATTTGGGATGTGGGTGGGCAAAAGACTATAAGATCGTATTGGAGGAATTACTTTGAGCAGACTGATGGGTTGGTTTGGGTGGTGGATAGCTCTGATCTCAGGAGGTTAGATGATTGCAAGATGGAACTTGACAATCTCTTGAAGGAAGAGGTATTTAGTTAAAAGTTTCTGTTGTTCAATCAAAAGCTTGGTTGTTGTTTGTGATGAAGATGATGATGATCCATATTCAAATAGTGGAATGAGTTTTTGAATATTGTTCTTGGTTTTTTTGTGGCAGAGGCTTGCTGGTTCATCTTTGCTTATACTAGCAAATAAGCAGGATATTCAAGGTGCTCTTACACCTGAAGAAATTGGCAAAGTAAGGGTTCTGAGACTTTATGATCATTTGTATGTATTTCGGTTTGAATCTTTGTCTTTTTTGTTCTCTGAAAAGGGTTTCTTTCTCAACTTCACTGAGGATTAGTGTGTTTAAGTAACATATGGTTTTGTGTTGTATTTTGTGGTAAGCTGAGTCGTATCTTCTTGGTTTTGCAGGTGCTAAACTTAGAGTCCATGGATAAAAGCCGGCACTGGAAAATCGTGGGTTGCAGTGCCTACACTGGTGAAGGTTTGTTGGAAGGATTCGATTGGTTGGTTCAAGACATTGCCTCCAGAATTTACATGCTTGACTAGTCTGTTGTTCATCAACTATCGCATTGCGCAATGGCATTTTAGGAGCAATGGACTATTTGCAGCTGAAAGATATTTCACCTACATCTTGAACATGTCAAGTTTTTTTACCATAACCTGTGATTTCATATTAGCATGTAAGCTTTTCTTTTAGTTCTATTGTTTCGATGATTCTACAAACAGACATATATGTTCGAAAGACAAACTCTTTGTCATTTTGTTTGATTGAAAGAGACTTAACCACAAAATGATGTTTCATACATCCAACTAAAACTTATTGATAAGCAAATCCAGAATCTATCATCAAAAGGTTAAACTGCTCTGCAAAGTTAAGCAGTTTAAAGAAGCATACGAACAAAATAAAAAAAGAATTCACTTGGACTTCTTTCCTTGTTTCTTCTTGACGACTTCGTCGATGTACATTATACCTTTCCCTTTATAAACTTCAGGAGGTTTGCAACTCCGGACTGTCGCAGCAAACTGATGCACCCTATCCTTGTCGATTCCGGTGCAGCAAACCACATTGTTCTTGAAACAAAAGACACGAACCGCCGGAGGAACAGCAAGCTCGACTTCGTGACTGTAACCGAGTTTGAGGTATAAGAAACGCCCTGCTTCTTCAGCTCTGGCTTTGTATCCAACTCCAACTATCTTCAAGAACCTAAAGAACTTGGCTTCCATTTCCCTTTATCCCTAGAGAAGATGCTTGCCACAAGAATTACCTGTCTGAATCATCAAGTTAAGAAAACAAAGAAAAGGGTTTCACAGTTAGAAGACAAAAGGTCGATTAGATAAAAATCTTATATACACATCAAGGCAGCACATTTCGTCTCAATGCCACTTAATCACATTAAAAATGCTCGAAAGAAGACGTTTTTCTTCTATATGTTTCATTGCAAACTATCCCGGAGACTGGAAACAAGCGATGAGGTAAACAGGAAATACGTCGAACAGTTTCAGAGCAATTTTACGAGAAGAACAATGAAAAAAACAGATACACAAACCCCAATTAACCCTATTTACATGAACACAGAACCAAATCAATTTGAATGAACACGGTGGGTTCTGTAGTAAGTAAAACACCGAAAATGAGAAAGATTCACATAAGATCTCGAAAACATTTGCAAGTGATTCATTTGGAATAGCTAAAGAGATGAAGAAGAAGATAGTGAGAGATCCATATGGAAGAACAACAAATACCTTTCTTGCTTTCCGACGAAAAGAAAAGAGGACCAACGCGACGGTGCTTTTTCTTCGCCGGCGGATCCAGATCACTCCCCAACGCCGGCCTTAAAACCTTCTCCTTCTCTTGATTTCGTTTCTTTGTGAAGCAGATAAAATGGTTGACGTTTTTAGCCGTGGAAAAACGACACGGTTTTTGTTTTTCTTGTTTTATCTCGTGTATCTTATAAAGCCCATTGAGCTACTTCATAAAGCCCATTGGGGTAATTCATGTAGCCCAAAATCATTGTAGTTTCGATGATGTTATGTTTAAACGTAAGATGGAAACCGTTAAGAGGAACCATGTAAACTTGAATCTATGTCTTCTGCCACAGCACAATTCAATTTGAATCAGAATAATGTGATATAAAATGCAAAAAGCCATCACATAGAAAACCAATTTCCATTGATCTCACAAATATTGTCATAAATTAAAGAAGATGGAAGCTGTTAATATTAGTTTATATATCGAATGTAAGGAACCAAGTAAACTTGAATTATTTCTCCTCGAAGAAACAAATCAAAAATTCAAAACCAAGCCAATTCCGATAAGAAAACCGCAGAAAAAAGGCAAAGAAGTGAGATCCAAACAGACAATCAATCTCTTTGCTCATCTTCCTAACAATGCAACACGATCTGACTGTACAGCTTGGGTAAGGTTGATGTCGAAAAGCTCGCAACGGATAGGCATTTCAATCTCATAGAAAGGATTCTTCAAGACATAATCAGTGTAGAGTTCATAAATGTATCTAAGGAGGCTCTCCATGTGGGGAGTTCCGGGTTCACAAACCACAAAGAACTTTGTTCCTGAGAGTATAATATAAGCCAACAACAACAATCAAAGATAAAACTAAGGAATCGTAAAAAATGATATCTTGCAAATGGGTCATGAACGTTACCTGGGAGAGACTGGAAACAATGGAGATCAAAAGTGTCGGCTTCGAGAAGCTCAATTCCAGAACAGCCATTTACAGGTGAAAGCTGCTGAGAAATGGCGTGCATTGAATGCCATAAACTCGCTACTCTCAAGCTATCATTCGTATCCATTCTTCCCTTTGTTCCACAATCCTGGATTTTTCCCCAAATCCAAACACACACACACACATACACACACAGATCTTTTAAGTTACAAACAGAACAGATCAAATACAACCATTGCAGATTTCAATCTCCAATTAAAGAAAAAAGTGGAGTGAGTTTCTGTTCTTAAATGTTCTAGTAAGCCAAATCAAAGAGAAAAAAAAAAACAAAGGAGGGTTCCAATCAGCTATTCACAAACCCTAGAGCAATTCCTAAATCATCAACACTGTTTTTTTCTTTTTCAAAACCTACTCATCTCCAAGACTCTAACTTTCGGTATACCTCAAACGAAATCGGACCCTAGAGAAAGATCGTACCTTGTAGAATATCAAACCACCAGATTTGTTTATAATGTAAAGACTGTAAATCGCTGCCGCCATGGTTTATTCGCAATCTATCAGCTTGTCTGAATCTGAGTAAAATTCAAACTAGAATATTAGAATTCAAAGGGGTGATTTGACATACCCAAACATCAAAGCTACCACTCAAATGACACAAGCAATAAACACAGGAAATACGTCAAACAGAGCCTGTGCAATAATCCGAGCACGAGAACAACGAAACTAAACTCGAATTAACCCTATTTACATGGACATAGTGAGTGCTGGAGTAAATAAAGCACAGAAAACGAGTAAGAAAGACCAATAGGCTCGAATCCATTTGTAAATTGATCAATGGGAATAGAGAAATGAGAAGGAGAAGAAAGTGAGATCCATATAGAAGAACAAGAGATACCTTTCTTCCTTTCTGGTGAAAACAATGGAGGCGAATGTGATGATGCTGCTACTTCGCCGGCGAATCCAGATCACTTCCCACCTCCGGCCTAAAAACTGTATTGATCCCCAAGCAGAAAAAAATGGTAGACGTTTTTAGGAGTGCAAAACGACACGCTGTTTTCACCCTACAGTTACACAGCCCACTGGACTACTTACGAAAAGCCCATCGGCCTAATTCATAGTGGCCCAAAAAGCGTATGAACTGTGTCTCGTCGCCGCTCTCCTCTCCAGCTTTTGAAAGTTGGAAGCTTTGTGTTTTTGCCGGAGAGCTCTAGAATCTGTCGACAATGGCGGATTCGATTTTCCGAAAGCTAAGAGATGGTGGAGAAGAAGGCGAGCTCGCGCCTGCTCTCACAATAGAGGAAACTGTAGCTTCCCCTTTCGCCCTCGATGTCTCCGGCTATCTTCTCGCAAATCTATCTTCATCAATTTTGGCTGGAAAATCCAAGTCGCAGTACACCCTCGATCCCTAGTTATACCAAATTCGATCTCGACTTGCTTCTCTATCTGGTTTTTGTAAAATCATAGTATCTTCCCACATTGGAATGCAGGGGTCTCGTGCTGATCACATTCTCCCGGAGCCCTTCATTCTATTTGCAATTCTTGAAGCAAAAAGGAATCGTTGTCTCTTCCTCTGCTAAATGGTGAATTTTTTATTCTACATTTATGGAGTACGTGTTAGCTGCATTAATGGGCATGTCTTTGATACTGAATTGGTTTTTTGATTTGAAGGATTCGTATTTTGGATTGTTACACTGATCCACTAGGCTGGATTGACCAGCCTTCTACTGAAGGTTCGAGTTTAGTTAAGCTACACAAGTGTGTGAGTGACTTGAAAAGGCTTTTTTCTTCAATCATTGAAGCAGGAAGAGGTACTTCTTTTTCACTTTCAGTTAGATCTTCATGTAAAGGATTGTATGAGATTAAAAAAGTGATTACTTTTGCTTGCAGAATTGGTTGGAGATGGAAAAACACGTTTCTATGTTGCCATAGATTCGGTAAGCAAATTCCTTTTTTTTTTTTGTGGAGAACATGAACTATTGAAAGGAGAAGTGATTTTTATGGAAAAATTTGAATCAGGTGAATGAGCTGCTAAGACATTCATCCATGCCTTTAGTTTCTGGTCTTTTGACTGATCTTCGAAGCCATGGTAGCATTCGCATTCTTTGCAACGTGAACCTGAGCTCTAATTTATTCGTGGATATATTTGTTCGTAGGCTTAACAACAAATGTTGAACTTTGTCTGCGCAGCACAAGTTTCCAGTTTATTTTGGTCATTGAACACTGATCTTCACCAAGAGAAGGTCACAAATGCGCTTGAATATATATCCACGATGAAAGCCAACTTAGAACCTCTGTGTCCATCTTCGGATGAGAAAAGGAATGCTTTGGAAAACCTCTTTTTGGTTCATCAGGATTTCGGTAAAGGACGGTTTCACGTCAGGTTTAAGCTTAGAAAGGGACGCGTCAGAGTAATGGTGAGTTCTCTCTCGCTCTATTCTCTCTGTACCCTGTGAATGTCATCAAACTTAAAGACTCTTGTAAACTCTTTACCCTACAGTCTGAAGAATATCATGTTGATCAAATGGGAATAAACTTTTCACCCATTGCATCCGCGGAAACTGTTATTGCAACCACCAAAAGCCTTTTGCCTAAGGCGAGTCACCTTGTTTTGCTTCTTAGTTTCTTATCTCTTGTTGTTGAGTTGTATGGCCTCAGATCATTGTTTCTTTTGGTTCAGGTTCAATTCAATCTACAGTTGTCTGAGAAAGAGCGAGTTGAGAAAGAAAAAGTTGTACTTCCTTTTGAGCACCAAGGTGAGTTTTACATCACATTTGGTGTTAAAGCCAGAGAATTTAACCTCTAAGATTGTGGATAAAACATTTTCTTGGATGGTTCTGTTCTGCAGATCATGGAAAATCGACAGAGATCTATGATGGGAGAAGATCTCCTGCGGATGGCAAGATGGAGGCAACACCATTGTCTTCAGGAGAGTTGGAGACTGATATGGTTTCATCGGGTAAAGGTGGAGAGATTATATATTTCAGAGATTCGGACGATGAGCATCCGGATTCTGATGAGGACCCTGATGATGATTTGGACATTTAATTGCTCTTGTTAGACCAGAAATGGCTCCAGTTTTTTTTTTGGTTTTGGCAAAAGTAATTTGGATTATAATTGTTGGGAACTTTGGATCTTACTTGTTAGATTTATCCAACTTTGTAACACTAGAAGATTTGTTGAGTATTAGATGTGTAACACTACAAGGATTATTAGTTAGTAGTTACATTTTGTTACAGTAATGATCTCATCGTCTATTCTTGTTGCTGCATCATCAACACATAACTATCAAATAGTAATGATGGGAAAGATTTGCTCAATTCAAAAAGGATAGATCAAAAGTTCAAACTAATAAAAAGTTCAATCTAAAACCGAACCAGAAGTAAATTTGGTTTAGATACATGATACATCTGCAACAGCAAATAAATACAGACCAATTTTTTTTTTTCTTTTTTTCTTTTTGAAAAATGTTAACCAATTTAACAGTCCACTTAGAACTACATTTCAGTAAAGGCATAGAAATTAGTTTAGGAAACTAGTTTAATATTGTTAATTATTTTGAATCTTTTGACTTCACAAGCAGATAAAGAAAAGTTAATAACAACTTATATGTTTTGACCAACTTAAAATTAGTATTAGAAACAAAAATATATTGTGTTGACCAAAGTTCTAGTTATTTTTTAATTTTAATAATAACACTCCGGAGTTTGGAGCGATGATTTGATATTGAAACGAGTGAATTACTAAATCTAAAAGATTTATATTAAAAGAAATGTACATTATAATTTTTTTTATTGATGAAATCTCACTATTTTCTGAATTTGATACTTTTCACTTCAAGAAACTTGAAAGAGGGGAAGGTGAACATAGTTCCAATCTATCTTAAGAATGAATTCAAGATTAGCCAAAATCATTATTGACCAATATTGCATTATTCAAAGTTCAAACTAATTTTAAAAAATAATAATTAAAAAAATATATACAAATAGAAGCCTCGTCTCCTTTATCTACAACAACAATTTATCTATCATTTTGTCAAAACTATCATTTTCACTTATCGAGGATTATGGCTGTATTCAAAGTCATGCTTGGTTCTCTTCTCATATCACTTCTTCTCCTCCACCTCGTCCACGCCGATATGGTGATATTCAAATATTTGTTAATTATTTGTGTTCCTGCTCCTTTTGTTTTACGTTCTAATGTATTAACAATGGTATTTTCCAAATATTTCTGCAGATGATGAACCAGAAGCCCCACAAAATAGGTATCTACATAACATTTTATTTTTGGTATATACTCAGGTGTTTTACGTGTATTAGATCTAGGATATGTTTGGTATTGTAGATTGTCGGAGTAGGTGCAAAGCACGGTGCAGGCTCTCAAGTAGGCCGAACCTTTGTCACAGAGCGTGCGGGACTTGCTGCGCCAGGTGCAACTGCGTACCAGGTGGTACGTACGGAAATTACGACCAGTGCAAGTGCTATGCAAGCCTCACCACCCACGGTGGTCGCCGCAAGTGCCCTTAAAAATTAAAAGCTTTCAATTATTGAAGAGCCTTTTGCTGGTATTAAATGATTAATAGAATGAATAAGAAAAGCAAACATAGAGAATTGTATGTTCATGGGTACATGATAAGAAAGGAGATTGTAATGGATGCTTTAAATTTTACATTTTTCATCAATATGTATGCCAGATGCGGAAACATTCAAATGGCTCGGAAGTTTTTTAGTGTGATGCCAGAGAAAACTGTGATATCTTGGAGCTTGGAGCTCGATGATCAATGCTTTTGGGATAAATGGTATGTTCGAGGAAGCTTTGGATTGTTTTGATAAAATGATCTCGCAGGACCTAGTTCCAAACTCTGTTACATTTGTTTCCTTTTTCCTGGTATGTAGCCACTAGGGAAACATTAAAGAAGGAAGGAAGCAGTTTGAGTCGATGACAAGAGACTACGAGATTGCACCAGAGGAAGAACACTATGCGTGTCTGGTAGATTTGCTAGGTCGAACTGGTGAAATCGGCGAAGCTAAGTCTTTTATTGATAACATGCCTGTGAAACCAATGACCAGTGCTTGGGGAGCTCTTCTGAATGCTTGTAGAATCCATAAAGAAGTCAACTTAGCAGAAGAAATCGCAGAGAAGCTTTTTTTCCATGGAACATAGATCATTAATCAGATTCGACGAATTTGAAAACAGGATATGGACTTTAAAAACCTATCTGATGAGCACCTAGTTATACATTCTCAGTTTCCTGCACATATCCAGCTAGTCTCATCTGCTCATATATCTCATCAAGCAATATGTAAACCTTATCTGAAGCTGAGTGAGATTTATCAGCTATAGCAAACATATGAACTCGTTTATCTATCTCAATAAAACTTGTCCCAGGACATATCTTTTCTATACCCAACTCTCTCATCCTTCCCCTAACCTCTGCAACATCTCTCCACCTGTTTTCTCTTGCATACATGCTAACTAAAAGCAAATAATACCCACTATTCATCGGCTCCAAAACCATCAGTTTTTTAAACGCTATCTCAGCTATCTCTAAGTTATTGTGAAGCCTGCACCCATCAAGCAACGCACCCCAGATAACCACGTTTGGTTCAAACTCCATACTTTCAATCAATTCAAGAGCCTCATGGATCAAACCAGCTTTGCTTAGTAAATCAACCATGCATCCATAATGTTTGATATTAGAGACAATGGAATAGTCATCAATCATGCTACGATATATCCTCCAGCCTTCTTCTACAAGACCTGCGTGAGTACACGCAGTTAGAACACTCACGAAAGTGACTGCGTTAGGTTTGACAGACTCCATCTCCATCTTGGCAAACATTCTCAGTGCTTCTTGTGCATAACCATGAGCAGCGAGCCCTTCAATGATTGAATTCCAACAAAAGAGATTCTTTTTAGGCAAATTGAAGAATACCAGAAGCGCTCGATTTAAGCTACCGCATTTGGAATACATATCGACCAGTGCTGACCCAATATAAACATCATGAAGAAACCCGTTCTGCACCGTGTACATATGAACCTCGTTACCTATATCCAGCACACCTAGATGTGCACAAGCTGAAATAACGGTTGACATAGTCACTTCATCAGGAATAATCCCTTCTTCTGTCATTTTGTAAAACACTGCAATTGATTCTTTATATCTCTTGTTGCGTGAGTAACCGTTGATCATAGTTGTCCACGAGATTATGTCCTTCACAGGCATCTGATTAAACAATGACTCTGCTATTTCCACGTTGCCTAACTTTGTATATCCATCAATCAAACAGTTCCACGTAGCGACATTCTTCTCCGGCATTTGGTTAGCTAAATGATTCGCTGAGTCCATGTCCAAGACATGGCGATAAGCAGAGATCATTGTAGTCCAAGTAAAACCATCTCTTTCAGGCATTTCATCGAACACTTTCCTGGCTTCCCTGATTCTACCCAGTGCCGAGTAAAACCAAATAAGAGTCGTCGTAATTTGAACATGAAAACAAAATCCGAATTTCCATATGTGCGCCTGAACCAATTCCCCAAACACAGAATCGAAAGCACAAGCCTTTACGAGTGAAGAGTATGTGTAGCTTGATGGAGAAACCGAGTACCTCAGCATACGAACATATAATCCAAGGGCTCGAATTGGGTAAGAACAAATAACAAGTCCTTTAATCAATGCGTTGTAGACGAAAACATTAGGTTCCTGCATCTGGGTCATCGAAGAAACCGCGAGATCAAGACGGTTAAAGGAAGTGCAGGAAGTGATGAAGTGGTTCATAACGTGACAGTCCTGATTTTGGCTGGTCTTAATCATGGCGGCTAAAGCAGACTCTAAAAGCTTAGGGATTGAGCATTGCTTGATAAACTGTAAAATTGGAAGATTCTTGGAAAGAGAAGTCGAGCAACTTCGGAGGAAAAGAAGATGTGGAGACTGTACCCCAAGGCTGCGGACGCTGGTCAAAGCATTCATGTAACATTTTTGATAAAAGAGGAAGACCGAAACCTTACTAAGAAAGCATAGAGAAGAAACTCTGAAAAAGAAAGAAAATTTCATTAACTTTCATTTTATGATTAAAAATTTTTGGAAGGAAAATAATTTTCTCTAATCTCTCTGAATTAAATAAAAATTTTGATAAGAAATATCTTTATTTATTTTATTTTTTCCTCGTTTATAATCCGTAGTATATCTTGTATAAAAATTTGAATCAACAAACCTTTACCAGAATATTAATTTTTTAACGTTTCTTTTTTAAAAATTTTTTATTTACGTTTCTCCTTCTCTTGCAAAATGAGATTATTTTAATTAAAAAAAAAATTTAGTATTATTTTTCTATATTTCTTAATTTTGAAATCTGACTGTGTTAGTTTAACCAATTTTTTATGTTAGACGAAATATGTACAAACCAATTTTTTATGTTAGACGAAATATGTACATCAAGTGCCTGAAAACTTTTGGATGCACCTTCGTACCATTCCTTTAATTATATTTCATTTTCTAAACCCATTCCTTTAATTATATCGAAATAGTTTTCAACCAGAAATACGCTCTTCAATTATTACCTCATCTGCTGATTCATTGCCCCAACCGCAGCTATACCTTGAGGCACGCGAGATTCGTTTTATAAAGCAAGCTGATGAAGCTTCAAAGGTCTCACAACCGATGTGGGACAAATACACACAATCACGTTTTATGTGAAGTGGGCCTGGGAAAATCGAAGTCCACTTTGTTAGGTTCTTTTTATTTTAGAAATTAAGTTACCGTATATTAATTCGATCTTGAAGCTGCATCACATCGTCGATTTACAAATTTGGACTCTTACATGCATCTGTATAAGACATAAGCTTCAACAAAAAGACCGGAAGATTCGATCCTTGCCGGCTTTGTCTCCAGTAAAACTCTCGAGCTAAGCATCCGGTTAATCCGGCTGCTTTATAGAGAGAAAGAAGAAAAAGACCTGAGCTTAATACTTCATAAAGCTAAATTAGCATTTGAGGCGAAGAACTAAACATCTAAACCAACACTCGCAAGCAAAATCGTATCAGAATACAAACACTAAAAGGGCCTTCTAAGAAAGCACACAACAAATCGAATTTCATACCATCAAATTGTGGTCTTTCAAAGGTAAGAGACCGTCAAAACACACCAGCAAAGAAATCGACATCAAGTATCAGAAACTCCAAATCCACGGGTCTAAAGATACACCAAAATAAAGACAATACAAGTTTATCTAATAGACAAGTCAAAAAAGTGCTGAAACTAAAATCACACACTAATAATTAGCAATTAAAGCAAATCTGGGTGGATTCGAACCACCAACCTCTCAACTTCCAATGAAGAAGAGCGCTCTACCAATTTGAGCTTACAGATCTATATCAAAGTCTTACGGATCCATGTTTAAAATTTTACCAATATTAGGCACTGTAGTTATATTCCGAATGATATAACATTCCAATTGATTCAAGATTGCGCCTCAACCAACAGCTTGTATTTTCCGTTCTGGTTACTCAAAAAGACATTTACAGGTTGAGACAACATATTTATCAAGTTCCAACATCAGAGAGTATTTTAAGAATAACAGCAACTGGTTTTGAAAAAATATATCAGCAAACAAATTTCTGTACTCTAACAACGTAATCGTTGATCAACTGTTAAAACAAATCAAAACAAAATTAAAAATTACACATACCCAAGCTTATGTTTTCTGAGCTAAGTACGAATACAAAACATTTAAATTGATTCATCTGAGATACCTTCGAAGTACAATTTAACCATCAAAGAGGACCACCATTTCTTGCGGAATCAACTTGCCATTCAAAGCATCTACTCGAATATCCTCCTCGCGAAGTTAAAGTTGATAGCTGTTTACAGAAATAAATCGAAATATTCTTTCTACAGCTTTACAATCGTTCTAATTTAGCAGTACATAACGAGAATTAAAATATCCTACGAAATAAAAGGGAATACTTGTTCCACTTCAATAACATATGCAACATTATCATCAATCATTGACAATATTGAAACTTCTCCAAAAAAGAGATCAACTCGAGAAAATTGGTGAACAAAGTAAAATTTGTTGAATCAATATGCAATAATTAGCAAGATTATAAAAAAGAAAGGATGATTAATTGAAGTATTTAGCTGTGTTTGTGCAAATTATGATACGAGGATGATTATCTAAACTATAATTGTAAGATATACCTTTCCGTCAAAGGAAGAGATTGATTGGTAATCGCCCACGGCTGCTGGTTGATAACAAGCTCTGATAAGGATCGCTTAATCACGTTTTTAAGTGATGATGATACGTTATTTTGTGGTGTATGAATAATAATAAAGCAATAGAAGGTAAACGAAAGAGAGAGAGCAAGACACGCACACGAGGAGAGGAGAACCCGGGGAAAAAATAATAATCACCCCGTGCGATCTCCTCTCCATACCACAAAAGATTTTTTTTATTGAGGATCTGTTTTTGACCTGCCATGCAAGCGCACCTGACATGGCAAAGGTCGGATGACAAAGATGAGCTTCCACAACATCTTATACATCCTATTAATCAACACACATGAATCCCATAGCCATCGTCTCCTTAAAAGATCTGGTCTCCAAGAAAAATCCATGCCTCAAAGCGCCTCAAATCGAACCAACACGAATCTGATAGGATCTCGCGTCTGACGAAGACACACGGGAAGATTCAATCACCAGATCTGATACAATCAAATCATAGTTATGATATTGAAATCAGGAAATTGAACAGAATTGGATCAATCGATTACGAGGATACGATATTCACCTTTAGATCTACGATTGAAGGTGATAAGCGGCGGATCTGACCACCGGATTCACGGATTCGATCGGAAAACGACACCGATGTGTAGATCGGGAGGCTCTCTATTACAAGTAAACGCGGCAAACGCAAGATTCGTCGCCATAGCAGCGAGATCTAAAGAAAACATTGAAAGAAAGAAAAGAAGAACGGGCTCTAACGAGGCGAGGATTGAGATAACCCTAGGAACAGCATATCCCTTTTTATATACAAAAGGGTTAGAAAGATGGGACGGTCCAGATTAAACGATTAGATGACAAATCAACGGTTTTAAAACGACCTCGTGGATCGTTGCGTGCCTTTCGGGTCATTCATTATTCATTTAAAGCGAGGCGGTTTCGTTATTAAATTAAAATAAAAGGATGCGGTTTTAGGATATGGACGGCTGATATTAAATTGCGTTGTCTTGACGCATCTTTTTTATTTGCGATCATCGCGGGCCGTGGGCCCGTGGACAAATAATTTGACTTTTTGACTTTGTCAATATTTTCTGACCTGATCGGAATGGTCAACTCGATGATCCGGTCGGACCGATAATTCGGTAATCCAAACAATAATCCGGTTTGGATTTAAAGTTATACAGTTTGTGAGATAGGTGAAGAATCACCTCTGGAAACAAATGCGAGGAATAACAACACATGACTCACACTTACGAAATATTTTACCTCTCCCTCATCCTATAACGGTTATGTAGTAGGATGATACATTTTAAAATATAGTTGATCATTATAAAAAAAGGTGAACTCGAGAACTCACCACAAGCTCTTGGAAAGAAGTTAATGAAATCTCAATATACACGAGCTTTAGGAGGGAAAGAGTCAACCTCATCGTCCATTGTGTTCATGTGGACCGGTCTATACTCCAGTTTCACCTTCCCTTCTTCCCAATACCTTCAACATATGTATAAAATAAAAACGCTCCTTAACTGTACAAAGCCATTTGATTATTAAAGTAATGCATGTTTCTCGAATGATTTATAGTATAATTTGTGAACAATAATACTGACAAACTATGAAATATGCATATACACCATCAATGGATTTCTACTTTGAGTTAGTATTGGTCTATTTGTTTCCGAAAGCTCTAAAGAGATATAAAATTTTTTACCCCAATGTATGCTTCATCCAATTCTCATCGTCTCGTTTCTGCAAAACAACCATACCAAATTTTCAATTCGTTATCCAGATACTGATTCAAGACAATTTTGTTACGTAAGGAACATAGAACTTACTGTGAAATCCTCACGAGCATGTGCTCCTCGACTCTCCTTTCTAGCCTCAGCCGAATGCATTGTTATACACCCATTTACCAAAAGATTCTCCAACTCCATAGTTTCAACCAAATCCGAGTTCCTAATTTTAAAGTTTCAAAACCAGAGCTTTAATAATTAGCCTAAAGACAGTTTTTTTACTTCTTTTTTCTCCAACGACAAGTAGTCACACTTACCATATCAAACTCCGATCCTTCACTTTGACATCACCAAAACTATTCCACGTCTTATCGATCAAATCACAACCTACACTCATAATAACAACCAAAAACAAAACCACAAATGAAGATTTTTAGATTAGATTTTACTCTGGAAAGACCTTAAAAGATCATAGGCTCTCGCTGTTGGTTACCTTCCTCTAGTGTTTCTTGTGTACGGAATACAGCAGCATTGTTTTGCATTACTCTTTGCATGTTTAAACGGATTTTGGAAGTTGGAAGTGACCCATTTGAGTTCCTTATTCGGTCCAACCATTCGATACTCTTCTCCCCCGCAGCCTTCTCTAAAGGTTTCAGTTTCTCACCTATGTGATACCATAAAGCAGAGATATCGTAAAGAGATGCTTGTATCAAGCTACATAGTTGTTCTTGTTCATCTAGATATGTGCCTACCTGGTTTTTGAATCTCCGCAACTCTGTTTGCACAAGCTCGGCCAAAAACAACAATGTCAAGAAGTGAATTTGCGCCAAGTCTATTGGCACCATGAACAGATGCACATGCTGCTTCTCCTGCTGCCATTAGTCCAGGAACTATAGAATCTGGATCATCGTCTCTAATAGTAACCACCTGAGAATCACACAGATGCTCAAAACACTTTTCAAATGCTGCTAAAAAATCGTTTTCTTTTCGTTTACCTCTCCATGGTAGTTTGTGGGAATGCCACCCATATTATAATGCACAGTAGGTAACACTGGAATTGGCTCTCTTGTAACATCAACACCAGCGAAAATAGCAGCAGTTTCTGATATACCAGGAAGCCTCTCTTTAAGCACCTCTGGTGGTAGATGGTTTAGGTGAAGGTAGATATGGTCCTTCATGGGTCCTTTTAAAAAAGTAAGTTGTATATGCTCAAGCTAATTTTCAGATTAAAGTAATAAACTCTCAAAGGAGTTATGATCTTACCTGCACCTCTCCCCTCGCGGATTTCCATAGTCATAGATCTTGACACAACATCTCTTGAAGCAAGATCTCTAGCTGTGGGAGCATACCGGTCCATGAATTTCTCACCTTCACTGTTTCTGAGAATCCCACCTTCACCTCGAGCTCCTAAATGTTAAAACTGACAAAGTCAAGAACTATATCTTGTCTTGCCTATATCCTTAATGGTTTGATCAGTGCTTGAACAAACACAGACCTTCAGTGATGAGACATCCAGCTCCATATATACCAGTAGGATGAAACTGAACAAACTCCAGATCCTGCAGCGGTAGCCCAGCACGTGCAACCATGGCATTTCCATCCCCTGTGCACGTATGTGCTGAAGTTGCAGAAAAGTAAGCTCTTCCATAACCCTGAAGGCAATTATAGATAATGATCAGTTTCACAAATCTAAACCAAGAATGTTTCAAGCGAAATTTTATCTTACCCCGGTGGCCAAAATCGTAGAACCAGAATGGAAACGATGTAAAGTGCCATCTTCCATGTTTAATGCAATGACTCCCTGACAAGTTCCTGCACATCATATGAAGTAGCAGTACTCATGCTTTAGCAAAAAATATATTTTCATTTGGAACCATAGAATATATGCAATTCTCAAAAGGAGTCAGATCAGTAAAAACTGTAAATCTTTCTGATATTGAAGGCAAAAGGATCTATATTAATTTGCAAACTCATAAGTATATCGACAAGGCTACATGATGGGTCATACATACTCTTAAATCAACCTGCAATTACTACTTACCATCACTGTTCATTATCAAATCCAAGGCAAAATATTCCACAAAAAACTGAGTGTTATGTCTCATTGCTTGGCCATAAAGAGTGTGTAACAAAGCATGCCCAGTGCGATCAGCAGCACACGCACAACGGTATGCTTGGCCACCTGATAGATTACATAGATCGAGGAGCAATTATGAGAATAAGCAGGTAATCTCTCACATGGGTTATAAATCAAGACTAAAACCTTTTCCAAAGTCTAGACTCTGGCCACCAAAAGCACGCTGATATATTTTTCCATCCTCTGTTCTAGAAAATGGCAATCCGTAATTCTCAAGCTCAATCACAGCTTTTGGAGCTTCCCTGCACATATACTGAATTGCATCTTGATCACCTACAGAAGAAACAAAAGATACAAGTTTCATCTAAAAATAGAAACCACTAGGAGGAACATGCATTAATAGGTAAGAAAGAAGCAAATTTACTGGAGTATACATCAACATAATACATCCATATAGAAGACAGTGTAAGAAATAGATTACGAAACTTGGACCAAGAAATTCAAAAAAGAAGAAGCTTTCAAAATCTTAATCCAAACAATCTAATGCTTTTGAGTATACCTAACCAATCACTTCCTTTGACAGTATCATACATATGCCATCTCCAGTCATCCTCAGTCATATTACCCAACGCAGCATTTATACCTCCCTTCACAAAATTTCACAAGCTTATCAAAAGAAACAAAAGCAGAGCTTGATATACTTAGCTTGATTACAAGAGTGCAATGTAGGTACCTGAGCCGCAACTGTATGCGAACGAGTTGGAAAAAGCTTGGTGATACAAGCTGTGTTGAAACCATGTTCTGATAGTCCTATCGCTGCTCTAAGCCCAGCACCGCCTGCTCCTACAACAACCGCATCATACGTATGATCAACGATTGTATAAACCCCTGTCTTCTTCCACAGATCACACACAAACTTGAAATCAGCATTAGGTAAATGTAATAGTCAACCAATTCGTGTTAATCAGGAGAAACACCAAAGACCAAACGAAATCGAATACTCAAACAGTACCGAATCAAAATCGACAGCAAACCAAATCGTGTTCTTAGTATCTGTCGTGATTAAGGCCAGAAATGATGAGAACGAAATCGAACAAAGGAGAAATTAAACAGTAGTAATGTAGCAAATGTCGTACCGAACGAGCTGAGAAGAATCTGGAGACTTGAGAACTGACGAAACCGCCGTTAGATTCCGATCTCCTCGTCGACGACGACGGAACTCGAAGACGACGAGGCACACACCGCCACATCTCGCCGAGCACGAAGTTGTTATGATGCTGGAAAATTTCCAAAAATTGTATTTGTCAACACGAAGACGAAGACTCGTTTTTATAAACAGTTACTTGAGAACGATTGTGAAATTCAAAAATTGCCTCTAGACCAGGTAAAAAAGTCTCTCGACGTGCCATCATCAAAGAAATTTGAAAATGATACATAAAAAAAACCTCTTTTGCTGCTAACTTGGGGAAGAATATTTTGAAACCGGATGATCTCGTTTTATAATATCAACAGTCCAGGATGATACACACCACATCGGATGGTCAAGATAGAAGTCTTTTCAGCCATTCGATCGTCTACAAAGTCGACTAGTGGGCTTTATTACGAGGCCCAATTTGACATTCATAGGCCCATAATGTAGTAGCGGCTGAATAACAGCAAAAATGCATGCTTAATTAGCAGCATTGACGAAGGCAGTTCGTTGCGCTCACACACGCCGGAGAATAGAAATCGGAGATCGACGACGCGATTCACAGAGAGAAAGAGAAAGCTGGCTTCGATTTCTTCTGCAGAGAGAGAGTGTGTGTGTGTGTGTCTGTGAAAGAGAGAGAGAGGGAGAGCGAGAGAGAGAAAGATTCTGGAGAGATCGATACAGAGAAATTGAGTTTGGGGAGATAGAAAGAGAGAGATGGAAACCAGGGAGAGAGATCTAGACCGGCTTATTCCGATGCATAAATCCGGAGCTTCTCCTCGAGAGGTCGTTCTCTCTGTTCCGCCGTCTCCTCTCGCTTCTCCAATTCACGTTGCCGGAAGAGAGGTTCCTCTCTCTCTCTCTTTCTCTACTTTTTCTCATTTCTTAATCTCTCTGGGGAATCGCGATTAAACAACGATTACAGAGCATTCCTCTAATTCCGCTAGTTTGGATCAAACAATTTTATCAACATCGTGATTGTTATCGTTTGCGTTTGATATAGAGCTAAGTTACTTGTATGTTAAGTTATTGTATGTTTGAATGTACACAAACAGGCGATTTACAAAGTTATCCGAAGCTGGGCCTCCAAAAAGTTTATGACCGGATGGTATTATTCTCTCTTTCTGAATCGATTATCAGAGATTTTAGCCTAATCGATGAGAATGAATAATTTCGTAGTTTGTTGTTGTTATTATAGTGTGATTCTTCTTCCAATCGCCGTCACATTCTACTTCACATGGTGGTTTATTCATTTCGTGGACGGGTTCTTCTCCCCAATCTATACCCATCTCGGAATCAATATGTTCGGTTAGTTATTCTTCATTTCATCTCTCATCAGCTTACTGTATTGAAAAGTAATGTCACATGGAATTTAGAACTAGACTTGTCAAAATTTGCAGGTCTTGGATTTGTGACATCCATCACATTCATCTTTCTCGTTGGTGTATTCATGTCTTCGTGGCTTGGAGCTTCAGTTCTCAGCATTGGGGAATGGTTCATCAAGAAAATGCCTCTCATCAGTTACATCTACTCTGCTTCTAAACAAATTAGTGGAGCAATCTCACCAGGTTAAAACCAATCTCACAAAACCCAAAAAGTTTTCTTATCTAAACCAAAATTATAAACTAAACTTACCCTTTTCTTCCTTTTATCAGATCAAAGCTCAGGTGCATTCAAGGAGGTAGCGATTATCAGGCATCCACATATGGGAGAATACGCTTTTGGTTTCATTACATCGACTCTGATTCTTAGAGGTCGTGCTGGAGGAGAAGAGCTCTGCTGTGTCTATGTCCCCACTAACCATCTTTATCTTGGAGACATTTTCCTCATTAGCTCAAAGGACATCATAAGACCTAATCTTTCAGTCCGGGAAGGCATAGGTATAACTTGTAACTTTGATAAAAATCCTTATTTCATATACGCCACAAGAAACAAATCGATCTCATTGCTCTCGGTTACAACTTCTTTTCTGCAACAGAAATCGTCATCTCTGGTGGTATGTCGATTCCACAGATACTAACAACACAGGACGCAGAGACTATTCACAGGACAGTAGTAGGAAGCTTTGCTATTCCACCAGTGTGAGTGAAGTCGATGAATCATTGGTTTGTCTCAAAAGATCAAAGTCTCTAATGGAGCCTCTGTGGTTAGGTGACTTCCAACATTTGCTAATCTCCAAGAATGTTGGGAAAATTTTGAACTCAAAATGATATGAGTGAAAAGATTCGTAGAGTTTGGATATGTGTTTAAGCCTTGTATTCGACTAGACACTAAAGAATAAACAAAATAGAATACAAAAGAAGATAGATTTGAAAGTGATCTTTCAGTGTTAACAATTTTACGCAAGTCCTTGTCTTCTGCAGCAGTGTTTAAAATAAAGTACTATGTTTTATGACCAGCTCAAAGATGCGCAAGGACATAAATCTTTTTTATATATAATTATTGTTTTTGTAATCAAATGCTGGAAGTGGTTGGGAGACACAAGGAGTCTCATGAATCCAATTCCTCATACGAAAACCTTTGGACCTCTCTAAATCGTTTCAGAAGCAGCCCGTAGCAGCTTCAAAACTCTAATTCCTACTAAAAATGATGTATCAATCAATGCCTCTGTGTAACCTCAGGATAATGCAGAACAGAGAGACTTGTATGCATCAACGCAGAGTTTAAACTTTTCTTGTGCTGCAGCCTGCGATTTCCACCACATTACCGAAAACAACTATCAGCACATAACTTCAAAAACTTGAAACAAGGTCAATCTTTAATTAAAAGCATACCTGAGACGGCCCCTGGTGCTTATCCGGATGCCACTTCAGAGCCGCAGATCGAAATCTGCATAACAAGAAGAAGACTTTATCGAACACTTTGCGGAAAAGGGATTTTGGCGACTATCAGAATCAATTGAAAAACTTACGCATTCTTAACATCTCCTAAGTTGAGGGGACCATCTAGAGGTAGACCAAGAACATTCCTCTCAGACAGAGACCCGACGATCAAAGGCTCATCACAAGACTCATCGTTCCAGCTTGTGCTTCTTGAAGATTGAGTGGTCCAGCTCCAGCCTTCTCTCCATTCAAATCCAGATGCCGAGTCCCTCGAATACGAGGCCTTGTGAGATTGATTTGTCCATCTTTGTCTCCATTTGTTCTCAAATGTATTAGTAGCATCAGCGCCAAAGTCATCATCATCGAGATTTCCTTCTCTGTGCCAACCTAATATAGCCAAACAAAGAAAATGATAGAGCAAGAAAAGTTGTGTGTGATACTAAGAAGAAGAAGAGAAGAGCAACTCACGTTTTGTTTTCTTATCCCGAGGCTTCTTTCCCCGGCCAGGTTGAGGTTTTTTCTTCATATGTCTATCCCGGACAAGCGGGTTTGGCCCGAAATGGCACTCATTCTAACGTATAAGGAAGCAAAATATAAAACGCTTGAGTAAAACACATAGTAAAAAGACAAAAAAAAAACAACCTATGTGAGAAGAACAGCATATAAAACCATAGGATATGTATTGAAGAAATCCATGAATGATATGTTACAAGAAAGTAGAAAATGTTACCTGAAGCGGATCATTGATTCCTGTGTGGAAGAGAAGATTGTTTAGAGTCTTTTTAGCACCAGTGCGCCGCCCTTTCTCTTTTACAGTACATGTGAATCTTATGGAGGAGTTCTGGGATCAACATTTTGGCAGCTTCAGAAAGAGAACTTTCTTTCTTATGAGCTTTGAATAGATACACAAAATAAATGACAACGTTTTAACATCAACATATCATCAATGCAGATTGCATTTCTACCAATAATCAATCCTCCCAAAAACTCGTTTAGTTCATATGATTGTGTACGAAAGTATAATAATTTGCAAAAACCCATTTTGTCTCAGCTACATGACCAAATCACGTGATCCTAGAGTTCAGGGCACAACATTTTCAATATTCCCCAAGCTGGTGATTATAGATTACACAAATACATATAACAATTCCTATTCTTGATTCCAAAATAAAATGAATCATCCCATCAAATGCATCAATCATATCAAAGTTGACATATTTTCAATTTGCACACATACCTTTGAAGATTCAGAAGTTGTACCATCCTTTGAAGCTCTACCCTGCGAACAAGAAATTGAATTTAAGAGCATCACAAAACTAATTACAGTTTTAAAAATTACCCAGATTCAATGATCAAGATCTTACGGAACCAAAGTTTTTCCTCCATTTTTCAGACAAAACACTCGTCGAATGAAATGAATTCGTAGCCGAAGATGCTGTGGCGTTTGATGACGACAATTCTAGAATCGAAGAGCTTTTCAGCGACAGGAGACTTCTCCATCGTTGCATATTGGGAGAGAAATTGAGAATTACAATTCAACGGTTCGAATAAGGAAAAATGAGAACTACGATTCTAGAATCAACAATTCCAGGGTTCGATAAAAAGAAAATGACGGTTGCTGGATTTGAGGAAGAAAGCGAGAGACGACGGAGAGTGACGGAGAGTTCGCGAGAGAGGTCAAGGAACAAGAGGCTTGGTGATACAAGGGTTTTTCAACCGGACCGGTTTAACCGGGACCCGGTAAATACTCTGGTTCGGTTACTGCTTAATAGTGCAAAGTCAGCGCAATTCAATTTGGGAGGAGGGAAAAAAAATCAAGAACAGCAAAAGGCCAAAAGTCCAAAAAGATTCTCACTTTGATTACGAATATTGGAAAAAAACAATCCAAAAATCAAACAATATTAGGTTCATGTTTGAGAATCGAATCGAATCAAATCTCAGAGAGATGAAACAAATAATCATATACGTATAGGGAACAATCTAAACATAACAATGGCATTGCTTTTTTTTAGCTTACATGGCTCTGCTCTCAGAACCTCAAAAGCACCCTCGAAAAAAATCCCTTCTTTCATCTCTCGAACTCATTGATGAGGAGGAACAGGACTTTTAGCTCCAATCTCTCGGGAATCATTACTAGATGATCCTTCACATTCACTGCTTTGGAACTCTTGGCTCGACAAAGCTATCTGTCTGAATTTCTTCATGTCTGCATTGTAAGATGTCTGACTATAATCCGAGCTTGTTCCCGATGTCCCGTATATGTTGCTATGTCCAGGCTTCACACCTTCGTTCAAAGCATCCAGTGACACTTCTCCTTCTAACGCTCTTACTATCTGATAACAACAAACAAAAAAAATGCTTATTACAATCTGAAAACAAAACAAAGATTTTATGATTTTGAATCACCTGGCTCATCTTTGGACGTTTACGTCCCGAATGGCGAATGCTAGCCGCAGCACAAGTCACCATTCGAGCCATCTCTTGCGGGCTGTAGTTGCCTTCAAGCCTTGGATCTGCAAGCTCATTAAAGTTCCCATCTTCTAGCGCTCGAGCCATGATAGGACGAGCCTATGTTCGTAATCAAATACAATCATTAGTACCCGAAAAACAAAATAAAAGTAGGAAGAGTGAAGCATAAAAACATATACATACCCAATCTACTAAAGTGTCGTCCATGGTGCTGCTATTATCAACCGGTCGTTTTCCAGTGATTAGTTCAAGTAACATGACTCCGAACGAGAAAACATCGGATTTCTCTGTTAATTTACCGCTAGATGCATATTCTGGAGCTAAATATCTACACATGTTTGTGCAGATAAGCAAATTAGTCAATCTACAAAAGGTTATGTTTCTTGAGTGAAGTGAAGTGAAGGGTCTTACCCGAAAGTTCCCATCACACGAGTAGATACATGAGTATAGTTATCAGAAGTTAACTTAGCCAATCCGAAATCAGCCACCTTTTCAAAAACAAGACAAATGCAAAAAGTCATCAGCTTTAACAATGTCGTCTTAACATAAACCGAAGCTGAATGCAACTACTAATTATATCACCATTGCATCAAAGTTGAAGTCCAAAAGAATGTTTGCAGACTTGATGTCACGGTGAATGATCCGAGGATGGCCTGAAGCCAAAAAGAAATAACTAGTCAGAGACAGAGCTTCCTCTGTTTTTCCAACATTAGGTTAAGAAAATGAGGATTGGTGAAATCTTGGAACTTACAGTCTTCATGAAGGTAAGCGAGTCCTTTTGCAGAACCTAAAGCGATACGCATCCTGATTGAGAAGTCCATTACCGGAAGATTCTTCCCTGCAACAACAAGAGCAAAGGTTACAACTTTCTTCAATCTATAGACTATAGAGATAACATTTATGTTATAGATAAGTTCAAGTGTCTAACCATGAAGATGATACTCTAAAGTATTGTTAGGAACAAATTCATAAACCAACATTCTCTGTCCATCAGCTATGCAATATCCAACCAAAGAAACAAGATACCGATGATGCACACGGCTAATGATATCAACCTCAGCTTGAAACTCTCTTTCTCCTTGTCCACTACCAGATTTCAAACTCTTAACCGCGACTTCTTTCCCGCTAGGCAACACACCTTTATGGACATAACCAAATCCTCCCTGTCCCAAAAGGTTAGAATCCGCAAACCCTCCTGTTGCAGCCGCTAGCTCTTGATAAGTAAAAGTGCTTTTGTTGAACCCAAGGGCCAGAACAGGGGAAGGAGGAGGTAAAACCGGACGTGATGGTCCTGAGTACAACGTGGAATCGTCTCCGCTTGTAGACATCCGTGGAGGAGGAGGAGGAGGAGGCGGTGATGGTCCACCACCTCCCCAACCACCAGGAGGTTGTTGGTTTTGGCCTTGGCCATTTAAGTGCCAATTTGGATAACTCTGTGGAGCATTGTTGTTGTTGTTGTTTCCATAGTATTGGTATTGGTTTCCTGAGACAATATGAAAAATGTTGAAACTTTTGATACAAATCCCCATAAACATATGTGTGTGTGTGGATATGTTTTTACCTTTCATGGAATCAGCGTAGTATGAATCTTTTCTCTTCTTTTTGCGTCTAAGACAGACAATAAGAAGCACAACCATCAATAGTCCAGCTCCAACTAATACACCTACTATGATCGCCGTATTTGTATTATTTCCTCCTCCTCCTCCTCCTCCTCCTCCACCGCTAGAAGGAGGATTATCCGAGAGAGAGCCGCCATTGTCTCCAGACGGCGACGATCTGCTACCACTGTTGTCTCCACTCCTAGAAGGAGGAGAAGGAGGGGAGCCACGTGACGGTGGGGATTCATTGCCACTGCCATTATTTCCTCTGTTTCCTTGTGGTGGAGGAGGATTATTGTTGGAAGTGGGAGGAGAAGGAGCTTGTGGAGCTGGTGGTGAGGTGGAATCAGGCGGTGGAGACGACGAGTTTCCTTGTGTCGGAGGAGCAGGAGGAGAAGGAGGAGATGGCGACGGCGGAGAAGAGGAGGTTGAATTGGAATTAGATGGTGGAGATGGAGAAGAGGTTGAATTTGATGGAGGAGGAGCAGATTCTGGGGAAGAAGCCATCGGAGAAGAAGAAGAAGAAGAAGAGGTATCCTTGGTAAATAGAAACTCTCTGTCTTCTCTCCCTTAATCACTCAAATTTTCTGAGAACAATAAACAACAAAACGTAGAGAAACAGATCATAATTAGAAAGGCATGACTTTTTTTACTTATTTTCGCTAAACAAACAGGGTGATGCTAAACTAAATTTAATACAAAATTAGCAAGAGATTAGTACCTTAGAGGAAGAGATTAAGGGAAGAGAGAGAGAGGGAGATGGGAATTGCAGGATGAGAGAGAGAAAGAAAGAGAGAGTTTTGGGGCATTTGGTAAGAAATATGATTATAGGAAGAAGGAGAAAAAAGGAGATTGAGATTTGCTCTGTCTTCTTCCCGACAAACATGCCTCTTCTCTCTCTCTGTCTTAATAACAGTTTTTTGTGTCAGTTGCTAATTGTAATAATCACCCGTCTAAATTATTCTCATTTTGGCTCCGTGATATGAGGAAGCTAACGATGTTGATTCAATGCCACGTAACCCCATGCATTGTCTTTAACCTTTATTAGGAGGGTCTCTAGTTTTATCTGGTCCGTTAGATCAAACTAGACTTCAGATCCTCCCACTTGGTTTTGACAACTTAAGAAAAAAAAAACAATTTTCAGTTGGTGTGGTTGGGGAAAAATAGCTAAAAACCCTTACATTGTTTAGAAAAGTATTGTGATTATCTATTCTTCATATTTGTGATTATCCATTCTTCATATTTTAATATTAACTTTTAGGTGAAGTTACTTTCACCGACTTACAAATGTCGGTAATTTTAGATATACTGTTCCTATAAATATGTGTTAAACGAGAGAAACAGAAATGAGAATAATAAGAAGAAGAGAGCAATTCACTCTCTCGTGTCTTCTCCCCTTCTCTCTTGCTCACTCTTTATTTCTCTTCCATATGTATACCTACATATATATAACATATACAAACACATCTTACCATTATATCATATAATATCTAACACGTTATCAGTACGAGTGTCTCTTGATCCGTTCTTATACCTAAAGAGGTAAGATTTAAATTTATGTTTATTTTAAGTTTTACTTATTATTTTCGGGATGATAGGCTCTACCTTTCCCGAACCGTTAATTAAATTTATATTAAAATTTACAGGATGATAGGCTCTGCTTTTTCCGAACCGATCGTTGAGATAGGCTATGCTTTCACGATCATATGATCATATGGTAGACTATGTCTCCTCAGATCATATATATGGAGTAGAAGGTTAAACCTCCTCCTTGATATTATGTTTATGGAGTAGAAGGCTCTGCCTCCTCAAAATTATATGGTAGGCTCTGTCTCCTCAAAAATTATAGTAGGCTCTGCCTCCTCAAAAAATATGGTAGGCTCTGCTTCCTCAAATTATATGGAAGGCTATGCCTCCTATATTATTTTAAATTTCATGTTTTTATTATGTGTGAGAATTTTTTTTATCATGCTTTTCTCGAAAAGCAAATTTTAAAACTAAATGTTTGCTAAATTTATTTTTGATAAAATTATATACAGTTATAATGTCGAATTTGGCAAAGTTCGAAATCCTTGCCTTTGATGTGTCTGGAAAAATTATATGTCATGGGCAGTAGGTGCAAAAATGCATCTAAGAGGAAACGGGCTTCTCGATACCATCAATAAGTCGGAAACGACATCAGATGAGTTAAAGGCGAAAGCCATGATATTTTTGCTCCACCACATCGATAATAGTTTAAAAGAAGAATACATCATGAAAAAAAGATCCTGCAGATCTTTGGCAATCTCTTAAAGATAGGTTTGATCACCAAAAATATGTGATCTTACCGAAAGCCAAACATGAGTGGCTGAACCTCCGGTTTCAGGATTACAAAAGTGTTGGTGAATATAATTCCGCTATGTTCGGAATTTCTTCTAGGATGATGTTATGTGGACAAGAGGTAAGTGATTTCGACATGATCGAAAAAACTCTCCAAACATTTCATCCTGGAAATGTAATCCTGCAACAATAATACCGGGCAAAAGGTTACACCACTTACTCGAAGTTGATGCAAATCCTCCTTGTAGCTGAACAAAATAATCAGCTCGTGATGTTGAACTATCAAACTCCTCCAACTGGATCATCGCCATTCCCAGAAGCGAATGTTGCGTTATTCAGTCAAAATAATAGAACCGAAAGAGGACGCAGGCGTGGTCGAGGTCGTAACCGCGGTCGCGGACGAGGTCGTGGACGAGGAAGACAAAACGATGTTGGTCGGGAAGCAGGAAAGCAAAAAAGAAACTGCTTGTTACAGATGCGGCATGAAAAATCATTGGGCAAAAACCTGTCGTACGCCAAGACATTTAGCTGATCTGTACCGAGCATCACAAGATGCCAAAGAAAAGGATAAAGGAAATAATTTTGAAACCAATTTCATCTCTGATGAAGCTGGAACTTCCTTTGATGGCATAAGTGAATATACTCATCTTGATATCGCTGATTTCCTAGTTGATCCAGAAGAATCAACGGAAACAAAGCGATTAAGATCGATGTAATGTAAAGTCTTCTCGAAGAAGACAAGAAAAACCCTATGTAATTTTAAATAAGAATGTAATATGCTTTTGTTAACAAAACAAGGTTTTTCTTAATATAAATAACTTTTAAAATCATGTTTTGATTTATTAATGTATTTTCTTGCATATATGATTCAGATTATGTCATCATTTGAGATTCAGGATGGAGATATATGTCTAGCCGATAGTGCTACGACACATACTATACTTAAAGATAAAAAGTATTTCTCCTGTCTCAAAATAAAGGACTCTGCCGGAAGCGTGGGTACCATATCTGGTCATGAAAATATTATAATTGCTCCGGAAGAGCTAATTTTTCAATGCCAAAGGGGAAAAATTTTGAAATAAATGATGCATTATATTCCCACGAATCCAATAGAAACTTGCTAAGTTTTAAAGATTTCCGAGGAAATGGATATCATATAGCAAGTACAAATAAGAATATCTTTGCATTATATCTGAGAGGAAACACGTATTGGAAGAATTACCAATGATGTCCTCTGGGTTATATTGCACAAAAATAAATATGACTGAATCTTATGTTACAGTAAACCCGGGGTTAAGAGTATGGCATGAAAGATTTGGCCATCCTGGATCAGTCATGATGAGAAGGATTGTGCAAAATTCAAGTGGCCACCCATTGAAAACCAAAAGATTTTTCAATCGGGAGAGTTTTCATGTCCGGCATGTTCTCAAAGAAAACTCATAACTAGGCCCTCGCAGCCAAAGTTAGGAATGAATCTCCTGTATTCTTAGATGCTGTTAGGCTCATTAAGTACCTGAATGTGATTGCATCCATGACCGGGGAATATGTATCTTCATAATCAATTCCCGGTCTTTGAGAAAAACCTTGTGCCACAAGTCGGACTTTATATCGTGTGACCTCGTTTTTCTCATTTCTTTTTCTCACAAAAACCCATTTGCACCCGACTGGCATTACATCTTTAGGTGTAATAATTATAGGTCCAAATACATTTCTTTTATTCAGGGAGATTAATTCATTTCTCATGGCCTTCTGCTATTTCTCCCAGTCAAGCTTTTTCTGGCACTCTGACACGGACCTTGGGTCTGGATCATCATTTTCATTATCAATTTCTTTAGATACCGAAAAGGAGAATATTCCATTTGTATCATTTATCTCGCTTCTAGCCCATAATGTCCCACTTTAGGCGAAGTTAATGGAAAATCTCATACTTTTCAGTATCATGTTCGTTTTCAAGACAAACTTTTTTAATTGGTTCTTCTGGAACCTCTTCACCTATGTCTTCAAGACATTTTTCTTTATTTAGTTATTTTGTAACCTTGTCTCCCAATTTCTTTTTCTTTCGAGGATTTTTATCCTTTGAGCCCATCGGCCGCCCGCGCTTTAACTGAACCTGCGGTTCATTTGCTTTATTCCCATCAATAACTGGTTCCGGAACATTTATTTTTGATGGAGCATTTGCAGCGGGGATATATGATTTTGTCACTCTTCTCGTATCTGTGAACGCATCAGGTAACTGATTTTCCAACCTTTGCAAATGTATGATTTTCTGAACTTCCATTTCGCGTTGATGGGTAGAGGGATCGAGATAAGCCAAGGTTTGTGTACACCATGTGATATCCTTTGGTGATTCTCTTGATCCTCCTCCCAACGCTGGGAATTCATTTTCATCAAAGTGGCAATCGGCAAAACGTGCCGTAAACATATCTCCAGTTGCCGGTTCAAGATATCTAATTATACTTGGTGACGTATAACCGATATATATTCTCAATCTCCTTTGTGGCCCCATTTTTTTTCTTTGCGGCAGGGCTATTGGGACATAGACCGCAATCCAAATATATGGAGATAGGATACATTTGGCTCCTTGCCAGATGTTAACTGTATTGGGGAATATTCATTATATGCACTTGGCCTCATCTGGACCAATGCCCCAGCATGCAATATAGCATGTCCCCATACAGTAATTGGGAGTTTTGTTCTCAATATTAACGGTCTTGCTATCAGTTGCAACCGTTTTATTAAAGACTCAGCCATGCCATTTTGTGTATGAACATGTGGAACCGGATGTTCAACATCGATTCCTAATGACATACAATAGTCATTAAAGGCTGCTGAAGTGAATTCACCAGCGTTTTCAAGCCTGACTTTTTTTATGGCATAATCAGGGAATTGCGCTCTCAACCTGATTATTTGGGCAATGTATCTTGCGAAAGCCATATTTCTTGTGGTCAATAAACACACATGTGACCATCTGATAGATCCGTCAATTAATACCATGAAATATCTAAATGGCCCGCACGGTGGATGAATCGGCCCACATATATCACCATGTATTCTCTCTAAGAATACAGGAGATTCATTCCTAACTTTGGCTGGCGAGGGCCTAGTTCTGAGTTTTCTTTGAGAACATGCCTGACATGAAAACTCTCCCGATTGAAAAATCTTTTGGTTTTCAATGGGTGGCCACTTGAATTTTGCACAATCCTTCTCATCATGACTGATCCAGGATGGCCAAATCTTTCATGCCATACTCTTAACCCCGGGTTTACTGTAACATAGGATTCAGTCATATTTATTTTTGTGCAATATAACCCAGAGGACATCATTGGTAATTCTTCCAATACGTGTTTCCTCTCAGATATAATGCAAAGATATTCAATGCCATTCTTATTTGTACTTGCTATATGATATCCATTTCCTCGGAAATCTTTAAAACTTAGCAAGTTTCTATTGGATTCGTGTGAAT